TCAGGACTCCACTGACGGGCATTTTGGCCAGCGACCCGGCGACCTGCAATCGCTCGGACGTCCATTCCTCGTGCATTTTGTTCCGGTTTCGCGCGTGCTTTTTCTGCCAGATGATCCAGGATGCTCGTCGATGGTCCTCGCCGAGATCCAATGCACACGCCCGAGCGATGCCAACGCGATCGCAGTCCTTCCCAGTGCGGGCAGCGCTGTCGTGTCCGAGAGGAGCGCCCCGAGGCGGCAGCTTTCTGGGGCTCGTCTCTCCGGGAATACCCGCCAGTGAGTACAGACATACCCATCGCGGTGTTGCGGACTGGTTTGGGCGTTGCCCGATGGGGGGGCGATACGAATGATAGGGCGAAGAAACGTGCACACATTCGTGCCCCTTTTGGGCCCCATTGAGGGCACCTGTGCTGCACGCGTCTTCGCCTCTCCATGTATCGGTCCTCCATCACGCAACGCACGATCGATACTCGGACCTGCACTGCCGGATGGCATCTAGGATGGTCTTGGTCTGCTGCTCCAGCAGCCTCCTGACCTTTGCCTCGAACACCTCCTGGCAGGGACGGCGCACAGGACTGTGATCCTGTCCCCTTCAGGGATTCGCCCAACCTTTGTCTTCCAAGGCATGCTTTTCCTCCATGGAAATCGCCTGGAGGAGGAAGAGAAGAAAGAAGAGCGGAGGAACACGAGATGGGATGGGCTGCTTGTCCGTGCACCTGGGGAAATCCAGAGCACGAGACAAGCCGAGAAACAGCAATCTTTCCGGGCGCATCGCGACCATGCTGGACTGGGCACCTGCCGTCCAGCCTCGACGGGGCCCCAGGACACGCAGAGGAACAGACACACGTGTCCCAGGATCCCCCTTTTACTCCCCCACCTCTTTCTGGAGTCTCGTCTTCCCCCCACCCCACTTCCCATATTTTCCCATGTCTTTGGGGATGCCAAAAAGTACTGATACAGCTATTCCCCGGACCTCTCCCCGGGTGCGTTCTGACCAGGATCTCGAGGCGAATCCAGCGGTGGTGACGACGAAGGCCCTGGAGTTCCAAGAATAGGAAAACGAGCGGAGGGTAGAGGTATGGGTACTCCAGATTTCGTGATAAAAGGGAGGGGGTCACATTCGGGGGGGGGTCTAATTTGAGCTGTCTGAGAGGGTTCGGGGGGTCTGGGCAAAGGGCCGCCCTTTGATGGACAGTCTGGGGGGGTCTAAAACTTGTGGTCTGGGAGGGTTGTGACCCCCTCCCTTTTATTACGAAATCTGGGGTACCTTTTCCTCCTCTGAATCCTTCCTGGGAGTCGACGATTCGTGGTGTCCGTGCTTCTCTCTTTCCCCTCCCGAGCTCGGCAATCGCCGTGCCGCCCGGCGGCTGGAGAGCACCCGGAGGGGGGCAGACGCGTGCACCGCGCGCGCGGCGCAGCTGGCGCGCCCGTGGCGCGCCCGGGCCCCCTCAGGCCCCCCCCCCCCCCCCAAGATGCAGGGGCCCAGGGAGGCACAGACAAGTGCACACACACACACAAGTCCCAGGATCCCCCAGCAGTTTCCCCCCCCCCTCAGGCCCCCCCAAGATGCAGGGGCCCAGGGAGGCACAGACAAGTGCACACAAGCATCCCATGATCCCCCAAGAGTTCCCCCCCCCCCCCCTCAGGCCCCCCCAAGATGCAGGGGCCCAGGGAGGCACAAACAAGTGCACACACGAGTCCCAGGATCCACCAATATTCTGCCACACGCTCTGCGTCTTCGTCCTCCCCCCCCCTCTCTTCCCGCAGTTTCCCATACTTGTTCCTGGGAGTCGACGCTTCATGGTGTCTGCGTGACTTCCCCTCCCGACCAAGGGGGGTGGGGGTGGACATCATGGCGTGGGCCATGATATTTTCTCAGATTTCATGGCGCCTCTTCTTATTTGGTTACTCCAGATTTCGTAATAAAAGGGAGGGGGTCTGGACCCTCCAAGACAAGCCATTTCAGACCCCCCCCGGTGGAAGAACCCTCCAAAACATCGTCCCCAGACCCCCCAGGCCCTCCAAGATAGCCTGGAAGAGACCCCCCCCGAAATGAGACCCCCCTCCCTTTCTTACGAAATCTGGAGTACGTCCCTGGCCCACCCCCTGGGCCGCGCGCATGCCGCCGGCCATGATTTGCGCCCCCCCCCCCCCCCCAGGAGACCAAACAACGCCTAGGATAAGCAAACAAAACAAATCCCGACCCTCGGCGGCGCACCAAGGGGGGGAAGCGAGAGGGGGCGGGCCCTCTCAGAAGGCTCGGAGGTCCCCATGGCCTTCTGCGAAGTCCGCGGATTTTTCCCCGGAGGACGCAGCAAAAACTTCTCAGAAGGCGCGAGGGCTTCTGAGAAGCCCCGCCGCCTTCTGAGAAGGACTTCTCCTTCTCACTTCCCCCCCTGGCGCGCCGTCGAATATTAGTCAAAATCGTTCCCTGGACCCCCCCTGGGGTCCATCCATCGTGGTTTTTCACCCTGGATCGAGTTTCGGGGGTCCCGGGGCCCCAAAACGGCCCCCAGAGGCCGAACACGAGGAGCATCTGCCACGACCCTCGAACCTCGAACCTCGAAGCTCTCCCCTCGCTCGCGGCCGAGACCCTCCGTCCTCGAGTCCCGACCCTCCTCCTCCTCCTCCTCCTCCTCCTCCTCCTCCTCCTCCTCCTCCTCCTCCTCCTCCTCCTCCTCCTCCTCCCTCCTCCCTCCTCCTCCTGCTCCTCCTCTCGCATCTGCCTTCTCTCCTTCCCCGAGGCGTGCCCCCCAGGGGAGGAGGGGGAGGGGGGGAGGGGGAGGAGGGGGGGGAGGAGGAGGAGCCCCTGGGGCGCCCGCGCGGCGCGGTGGCGCACCCCCGCGAACGCCGCGCACCCCTCTGGCGTGTTTTGTGCTGCCCCTTCCCCCTGCCGCCCTGCGCGTGGGCCTGGGCGCCCTCCCCCTCCTCGCTCCTCCTCGCTCCTTCTCCTCCCTCCTCCTCCTCCTCTTCCTCCTCTTCCTCCTCCTCCCCTCCTCTTCCTCCTCTTCCTCCTCTTCCTCATCCTCCTCCTCTTCCTCCTCTTCCTCCTCTTCCTCCTCTTCCTCCTCCTCCTCCTCCTCCTCTTCTTCCTCCCCTCCTCCTCCTCCTCCTCCTTCCGCTCTTCTCATGAGCCGTTCAGGGCGCCCAGGATAGCTCCACGATGGCGCGCAGGGTCTACCCCCAAAATTGGCTCCCTCGTCGAATCTAATACAGATGCGTAGATGGATGGGGCCCAGGGGCACGCACAAACAAATATACACTTCCCATAATTTCCCCAATGTTCAAGAGCGTCGTCAATTCTTTGTGTCAGTGTATGTTGTTTTCCTCTCCTGAGTAGACTGCCCCGCAGATCTGCGACCACTCTCTGCGTCTTTGGTCGTAGACTCGACGCGCAAAAACACATCCCCGCCCAGGCCAACTGAAGTCTGCAGCCGACCTCCTATTCGAAATACACTGGGGGCCCGACCGCAAGAAGCCCAACCCTGAGACCTCAGGACGTCCATAGATTTCTGGTGTGGGAACGTCACGCCTTCCATAGCAAAACCATCGAAACCCCAGAAACCCAGGGCACCCTGGAGGCAAGCAGGGTGTTTCTTGGCATGGGCCTCCACTGTGTGGCCTCCAGGATGGCACAAAGCAGACCAAGGCGGCCCCAGATGGCTTCCTCGGAGGCGAGCGATGGGGGGAAGTGAGAAGAAGAAGACCTTCTCAGAGGGTGGCGGGACCTCTCAGAAGCCCCCGCGCCGTCTGAGAGGGTTTTTTGGGGTCTTCGGTTTGGACGCCCGACATGGGTACCGAACAAATGGGTACGATGCCCAACAACAAATGTTGTCCCAAACCAACAGCGGCCGCTGTTGGGCAGGCGGCCTTCTGTCTCGAATGGACACAAGCCGCCGCGGCGTGGACAGCGAGCCCTGTTCAAAATGAACAGGAACTGCTGTTCGGCATGGTACCCATTCTTTCCGTGCCCATCTCGGGCGTGCAAATTCGGGAAAAGCTCGTAACACTTCTCAGAAGGCCGGGGGGCTTCCGAGACTTCTGAGAGGGCCCGCCCCTTCTCACTTCCCTCCCTCGCTCTCCGCCGACGTCCAGCATGCCCCCCACGAAACTCCAACAGTGCCCCCAACAGACGGCTCCAGGTGGCCACGGAGCCAGGTACACATACAACTACACATGCAAATCCACATGCAAGTGCACATGCGCATGCACATACACACACACACACGTGTTTGTATGTGCATGTGTGTATGTACAGGGAGTTTGAAAAAAAAACAGGGGTTTCAAACAACAGAACAAAATTTTTTTAATTCTGGGTTGTTGCGTACAGTTTGGAGCGCCGCGCCGGGGCGAGCCACGAAACTAGGATTAAACAAAAACGAAAAAAACGCAACGACGCGACACTAAACAAAACAAAGGTTTTCCATGATGAAATCTGCGCCAACCCGCGTGAAGCCTTAAATGCAATTCTAAGTGGGCACCCCACATAAATATTAGGGTGGCATCCTTTATTGGGGGGGCGCTGGGGGGTTTGTTCGGGGGGTCGTGCTGGGGGGGGTCTTGCGGGGGGTGACGATGGGGCTCTGGGTGAAGAATACAGGAGAGATTTTAAATGACGATTTGGGCTGGCGGGGCTCCAGGGTGAAGATGTACGCGAATATCTAAATGAAGATTTAGGCTGGCGGGCCTCCTGGGTGAAGATGCACGTGAAGATTTACATGAAGATTTAGGCTGGAGGGGCTGCGGGGTGGGGATTTTCGTGAAGATTTAAATGAAGATTTAAGCTGGCGGGGCTTCATTTTCGACAAGATTTGAATGACGATTTAGGCTGGCGGGCCTCCGGGGTGACGATTTTCGTGAAGATTTGCATGCAGATTTAGGCGGGTGGGCCTCCAGGGTGAAGATTTTCGTGAAGATTTAAATGAAGATTTAGGCTGGCGGGCCTCCGGGGTGACGATTTTCGTGAAGATTTAACTGAAAATTCTGGCGGGCCTCCGGGGTAAAGATTTTCGTGGAGATTTAGGCTGGCGCGCCTCCGGGGTGGAGATTTTCGTGAATATTTAAATGAAGATTTAAGCGGGCCTCCGGGGTACAGATTTTCGTGGATATTTAAGTGAAAGTTGAAGCTGGCGGGTCTCCGGGGCGAAGATTTTCGTGAAGATTTAAATGGAGATTTATGCGGGCGGGCCTCCGGGGCGAAGACTTTCGTGAAGAACTAGGCTGGCGGGCCTCCAGGGTGAAGATTTTCGTGAAGATTTAAATGAAGATTTAGGCTGGCGGTGCTCCGGGGTGAAGATCCCGAGCTCGTGAAATGTTTCGTGGGGTGTCTCGTGGAATTTTATGTGAGGTGTCTCGTGGAATGTTTCGTGAGGTGTCTCGTGGAATGTTTCGTGAGGTGTCGCCCAATTGGGTATCGTGAACACGCGTCCATTCTCCACGTGTCTATATCCCTTTCCGGGTTCGTGGGTTCATCATGTTTTCCTTCCATCGCAACGCGACTAGGTGAAGATTTACATGAAGATCCAAATCAAGACTTAGGCCGACGGGGCTCCG